CCACAATGCCATTCGAATCCCTGAGATGAAAGAAAATTTATTCGAAAGATTATTCATTAATATTAATACCAAGCGGAGAGCTGAAAAGTTGAATCTTCCTTTAATTATGGCGGTTTTTGATGAGGCCCCTAGCTGTGTGGTTTTAAATTAGCTCTTGAAAAATGCACAAGTTCGAATGGGCGCTTTGCTCACAACCCACCGTCGCCGTCGCAGGAAAAAGCTAATACGCCGGATGTTTCCCACACTGGGAGAAGCGGTCTCGAAAATATGATGCACACATAGGGTGTTTCGTAAGTTAAGATTGTTTTTGGAACATTTTATTTCAAAAAGGCTTAATAAACCATAAATTAGATTCTTTGTTTTGCCAGTAGTTTTAGCGATACAAGATGTGGAAATAAAACAAAATCGAGTTATTTTTTTTTAATTTAAAAATGGCTTACTGCATCGTTCAATAATAGATTGAAAAAAAATGTTAAATATCTATTTTTGTTGGAGGAAAATGGCTCGTTTTACCAATAAAGTGAATGATACCTTTTTTATTAGAAGGATATAAGGAATTAAATGCACTTTTCAAATTCCCGAAATATTCAGTACCGTCAAAATTGTAGAGATTTTAGTGAATTGATATATTTATATTGTATTTTATACAATATTTGTATACTAATTCAGTGAATTTCTGTTCTTTATTAATTTTATCGTTAACTCTTGTTTCATCAACCTACATCAAATATGTGGGGGAGATACAGTAACTTACAGAATATTGACCCCTAAATGTAAGAACTAAGTAAGAAAAATTTCTCGATTAAGTCATTTAATTTATTAAATTTAATCTTTATATATTTAGTTTAAACAATAAATTATATTAACGTTTAATATAATCGTACACATTTTCAGTTAATTATTTCTTGCATTTAGATATGTCACTCTTAAATGTCATTGGTTACTAACATAAAGCATTACTTTGTCCTATTGGAAAATAGCGAGTGATGCTGATTTTAGTTGTTTATTAAATATTAGCAGAGTAGTTGTTTTCCACAACATAGTTAAAATCGCTTCAAATATACTGTGACAAAAAAAAAACGCCTAGTAAAAGTATAATTTTTAACCAAATTTTCTACATGTGTTTATGATGTACAGAGTTCAAATTCAGTAATGGGTTGCCCCTCCATTTAAACGAATACATTCTGCGGTTCGAACGGGCATGCTTCTAATGAGGGGATCTATAGAGTCCTGAGAAAGGTCATCCCAAGCAATTTGTAGAGCATCATGCAGCTGTTGTAAGTTCATTGGAGAGTTTGAGAGCATTTCCAATCTTTGACCCGAGACATGTTCGATAGGCGAATGGTCAGGTGAACATGCGGGCCATGGGAAAATATTGATGTTAGCCTCTTCCAAGAACTGTAGTGTAACCGCTTCAATATGAAGGCGAGCGTTATCTTGTTGGAACGTGACATTATTTAACCCTCGAATGTATGGTACAGCAAACGGTTCCAGAACTTCATGAATGTATCTTTGGACATTCAATTGGCCTTGGAGAAATACTAGAGGAGTTCTGCTACTTATCCTAATTCCACCCCACACCATAAAACCTCTGGTAAGAGCTGTTTCCCGTTCTACGGCAAACTCCAAGAACCGTCTTTCTCCTCTTCGACGCCTGACTCGTTTACGACGGTCGCGGGCCCACAAGAAAAATTTGCTCGTGCATGGCACCATTTCAATCTAAGGGCACGACGATGTTTGGTTAGAGGGGGCATTAATCTTGGGTAAATGAATACGGCGATATAAGGAACGCATTGTGATTCTATGGCCTATCTCTCCTAAAAAAATATACTATCGATCTGGAGGTACCGTGCCGATCCTTAAGGGCATGTAATCTCAATCTCCTGTCTTCTCGATCTGCCCTTCCTCTAGATCGTCCAGAGCCTCTCCTGCAATGTTGCCTATTATCCACTAATTTCGCGAGAACCAATTCCCGCCTCATGTAGGCCAATAATACGACTCCTTTCAAAATCGCTCTGTTGATGATAATTCTGCGGTCTTCTAACTCTGGGGCATTTTATCATTATAGCTTAGAACTGTTTCACTGGAATAATAACAACAAAGTGACTAAAATACCATAGAATAAAATAAAAAAAATTGGAAGGCATATCAAAACAAGATAAAAATGTCACCCATTTTTTATTATTTTTGTTTTCCATCCATTACTCTCTATATCCTAAGCATATGCATAGAGTTTGGTTTTAAAATATTGACCTCAACGGGGTGATGTATTTTTTATCACGTAGTATATATTTGAATCAATGTAATAATTTTTTTAAATGTTTAGACTCTTATTTTCTTAAGGCGTTTTGGTTTATTACTCCAGTCGAATTAGAGGTAAACGTGAAAAAATTATTAGCAGACATTTTATTGTACTTTATGACGCGGAAGGATATGTAGAATGTTATCAAAAAAGTAATTCGAAAGAAGAGATGCTAAGTTGGCAAATTGCAAATAAGTGACTACGTGTTTTTTCACTTTTTTACTGTCGACGAAAGTCTATACGATCTATTGGAAAATTAGTTATTTTATATTGTAGGCAATTAAATTACTTACAATTTAAGGTATCTAAAGTCATATTTCACCAATTTGTTAACTGTAAAATAAAGGTTGAACGTGGAAAAATCCGTTTTCCAAAAATTGTGCATATTATTGCAAAAAGCGATGGTTGTTAATGAAATTTATGGAAAAGACGGTCAATCCAGTGATGAACGTGTTTACTAAAGACCGATTCGATTGACCGTGAAATTGTTGCAGCAGGTCCTTGTTAGTTAATTTCATTCGTTTTTGCAACTAATTGTTTAGTTGATTAACTAAACGTTAATTTTAGGAGGTATCCAAAGAAACGTATCGAAAAAGAAAATTTTCAAAAGGCTAAAAAAGTAGGACGTGCGAAACAACGTTATAAACAAATTGTCCCAGAATGAGGCAAAAGCCGCTCGGGAATTCGATCTTTTTGCATTTTTACGGTAATTTAAAAATGAGGAATCCCTTACCTCTTTGTCCGCAAGATAGCTTTTTATGTTCCGTTAATTGTTAATTAACTATTAGACGTATCAGGTCGGGATTTTAGACAATTAAAGAAAGGGTTAAATTTTTATATTCAGAATGTTTTACATTGATAGTTCGTGTAATAAACGCGCTAGTAGCAGTAAAGGTTAACGTTAATAGACAGCCTGCACTCGGGAGCGCCGGGCCCACGCGTACGCGTAAACGTAGCTTACTCGCGCGCGAGATTTTATACTTGAACGTTTCAAATTAGGTTGAAAAATCTCTCGCGCAGTCGACGGCGACATTCACGCGCATGCGTGAACCTGGCACTCCTTGTAAAGTGCTACTAATAGGATCGTTTCAAACATATTTCTTTATTTATTTGAATTCAACATGTTTTAAAATTAATATAGCTTTTTTTCAGAATTTTGTTTTTACTAATATTAACTGAGATATACAAGTTTAAAATATGAACATTTTCCGTCCTTTTCTATAAGGCATTGTGACGTCAACTATGTCGCATGCGCTTTACGCTTTAAATTTAAGTTGATATAACAAGTTAAGTTGGCTATTCTGGCATTGCTGGAACAGTCACATTTTCTGTCATTTACCATTATACCATTTACTATTTGTTGTGCTGGTGACCGGTGGTGTTTTTGTGTGTTATTTTTATTTATTATAATTTTAAGTAACATGGAGAGCATGAAAAATTACAATATACTTACCAGTTATCACTGCCACACTCACTATATAATAATAAATAACACAGATCTACTAGGTTTGTGATATTAACCCCAAATTATAAAGTATCAAAACTATCATGAATCATGATGTCAAATCATTTTCTGTGTATTTTGTTTATGTTTCTATTGCGCATGTATATGAGCTGACGTCACAGCGAGAGAGAGACAATAGTTTTTGATAGGACAGAAAATGTTCCATTTTTTCTGAAAAATAAGTTAATGAAAGTAAATATATAAGCTTGTACTAGGTACTGAAAAATAATAGCAAATTCAATTTTTGGAATCTAAGGTAACGACCTATTATATACTTAATACTAAAGGGCTTAAGGGTTGTAAAGGGATACTTAATTTCAATTTTTTGATTTTTTTTTCGATATTTTTCTTTTGATCAATTATCTTGAAACTACGATATTAATTTCTAGAATTAACGATTAGTAATTAGACAATTGCAAAAAAACAAACAAAATTAAATAACAAATACCTGAAGCAATAATTGAATCGGCGTTTAGTACACATGTTGATCATAGGATTGACCGTGTTTTCCATAAATTTCAACAACCATCGCTATTTGCAATAATAATCCACAACACAACAAATCGGTGAAATATGATTATAGATACCTTAAATTGTAGGTAATTTAATTGCCTACAACATAAAATTACTATTTTTCCTATAGGTCGTCTAGATTTTCGTGGGCAGTAAAAAAAATGGAGAAAACGTGTAAATTTGCCACTTATTTCAGTTTGCCAATTTAGTGTCACTTCTTTCGAGTTACTTTTTTGATTTTAACATTCTACATGCCCTTCCCCGTTACAAAGTGCAATAAAATATCTACTAATAATTTTTTAAAGTTTTCAGGTTTTATGTTCTAATTCGACTGGAGTATATGACATGAACTTATAAAACACCTTGTGTAACATGTTCGTATCTTCTCTGAATACGCAGGATTCAAATTAATCTTTTTAAACGTGTGAGAGATACTAAGAGAATATAGCATCAAAAATTTTTTAATACAAATAATATTGACCTTACCTTAAATGTTTGAATCATTGTAAACATAGGGAATCGACCATTCCGTATACTGCGCGTTCATATCCTAAGTAAACCAAATCACCCATTCATCTTTTGATCAAGAATTCCATTTACTGTTTCCACAAACACGTACCCAAGTAACGCCATTTATTTTAAAGCGAAGATAATAAAATAAAACTAATCACTTTGTTGCAGGTTGAATTAGAGAACTGGGTAAACAGCATTCATAGTGCTTGTGCCGCAGCTTTTGCAAGACACCGAGGAAAGACTGGAACTTTACACTTACTTCAAGAAGAGATCTTCCGCCTCGAGAAAGCCATCGAGACGGTAAGTTTAATTTCCTCCTCTTTGTCTAACCAGAAATCAGACGGTACTCGATTTATACCAAATTCTATTCGGCGTGACACGACCCCTCGATTTATAGAAAATAGTCCAAGCATTATAGAGAAATGCTTACAGAAATTATTACCTGGACAAAAAAAATATGACCGTATAGAAAATTAAATTTTAAGTTGAGTTTCTTGTTCTTTAAACTCGATCCAATATGGCGAACATGGTTAAAAAAAATCGCAAAGTTGAAAAAAACGGTTTTTCTAAAATAACTAAAAAAATATAGCACGGATTGAAAAATTTTAAATGAGAAAGTTGTAGGTTTTAAAAAGATCTATCGACTGATTTTTTGAAAGTATCGATTGCTTTGTTACTTTTCGAGATATATCGAAAAAACCGTTAAAAATCTTCTCTTTTCTCTTCTTCTATAACTCGTTTACATTTACGTGCCCATATTTGCTATTTACTGCAAGCATAGCCCGCGGCAAGCCAAAAAAGTACATTTTTGAAAAATTTAAAAATATTAATTATTTTTCGAGATATATCGATTTTTTGAAAAAAAGGCGCTCTCGAAAATTGGCCAGATCTTCTCAGCGGATAGCCCTACAGTAACGATTTTCGGTTTATTTTCTTCGTAAAGAGTTATATTATCATACTGTTAAAAAATGTTGACGATTTTATTAATTTTAAGGATCAAAAAATGACTGAAAATGTTGCACTTTTTTTGGGTATGTTTTTTTCAAATAACTATTTCAATTTTTATTATTTTTTTGTACTTAATCTGGGGTAGCTAAACACGAATATTATAGCATTTTCGCCTTAGTAGCAAAATAGACCCGTAAATGTTTAGTTTTCTTTCTTTAAAAGTCATTTTCATAAAATAAAAATTGAAATAGTTACATACCCAAAAAAGTGCAACTTTTTCAAAGTCATTTTTTGATCCTTAAAATTAATAAAATCGTCAACATTTTTTAACAGCATGATAATATAACTCTTTACGAAGAAAATAAACCGAAAATCGTTACTGTAGGGCTATCCGCTGAGAAGATCTGGCCAATTTTCGAGAGCGCCTTTTTTTCAAAAAATCGATATATCTCGAAAAATAATTAATATTTTTAAATTTTTCAAAAATGTACTTTTTTGGCTTGCCGCGGGCTATGCTTGCAGTAAATAGCAAATATGGGCACGTAAATGTAAACGAGTTATAGAAGAAGAGAAAAGAGAAGATTTTTAACGGTTTTTTCGATATATCTCGAAAAGTAACAAAGCAATCGATACTTTCAAAAAATCAGTCGATAGATCTTTTTAAAACCTACAACTTTCTCATTTAAAATTTTTCAATCCGTGCTATATTTTTTTAGTTATTTTAGAAAAACCGTTTTTTTCAACTTTGCGATTTTTTTTAACCATGTTCGCCATATTGGATCGAGTTTAAAGAACAAGAAACTCAATTTAAAATTTAATTTTCTATACGGTCATATTTTTTTTGTACAGGTAATAATTTCTGCAAATTTAACATTAATCCGTGACAGAATGCTTGGACTAAAAAGTTCCTCGTGGAACTAACATAAATGTAATGGAGTCGTTTAATTTTAAAAGCGGGAGCGGTTCTACCTTGGGCGATTTTATACAAGGTGTGAGAGAGACGTTGTCATCAACTTTAAAGAGTGATTTCCCGTATCAAAAACCTTAAGGAATGTATGATTTCAATTACGTATTTCTTCATATGTAGAGGGTAGATCAAATTCGACACTTTAGGATGGTAGGAAGAAAACTAATTAAGATGCTACAGGTTCGGTTTTCCAGAAAAGCTAAATAATGAAAACCGCATCTAAATATCTTGATTTGTTTAAGATATTCAGAGCTATTTTCAATTGTGACCGTGTCCTTTGATGTCCATAATGTTTATTTGTGGAAATTTCTTATTTTTGTGATGAGGGTTCTTATTACCTCAAATTTTAAAATTCGCATAAAATAATTATTATTTTGTAAAATACTATGAACTTACAGTGAAAAATAAATAGCAGGAATTAGGCAAAAGCTCTTGCAATAAATACAATAATAATAATAAAGTGTTATTTTTAATTCTAATTTAACTTTTATATTTCATCGTAATTATCAGCTCTGTCAACTTCATATATGTATTAACACCATTTGAGAATTTGGGATACTTAACGTTTTTACAGAAAATATGTTAATAAATTTTCAGACCATTTTTAAAGAGTCATCAGGAGAGTCATTTTTCTATCAACATGCTGTAGAGCGACACTTTGCACCTCATAATAACTTTATAAATTACAGTTATTGGCAGAAATTAGGTAATAACTGAATCGGGAGCCACTACGGTCGCCTGATCTATCCTCACTCGACATCTTTCTGTAGCGAAGAATTAAAGACTAAACAGTCTAAATATAATTCCACACAAGAGTTGCAGCTAGCAGCGTTACAGTCTTTTGATTCTATGCACAACATAGAATTAATCAGATGTAGAAATTGTCTATATCAAAATGGAGCGCAAACTGACACTTTTAGTGTAGGAAGGAGCTATATAATACTGCTCAATAATGCTAGAACTAAGAACAAATTTTTCTTTTGTTGCAAAAAACTATCAAGTCAAGGCCTTTTCTGTATTAATCTATCAGTATCGTCATAAAAATCAACATGTCTTGTAATCTGTTGTTTTTATTTGTTATAACGCAACTTTTTCATTAAAGGAATCTCTACTAAAGATACAATCTTTCTCAAGTTCTGACTACCAAAGTATTATAAACAAACAGCTCACTCACTCGAAACTCTGCCGCGTGTTCACAACTTTGATTTCTCAATTCTCGTCTCGAGAAATCAATAATTTGCGAGCACGCTTAGGAAAACCGTCTTATAGGCATCATAATGGGGTTCGATCAAAATTTTGGGGAAGGAAAATAATACTATCAAAAGAAAATGAAAACAGTGATTATTTTATTGAACGTAAACATTTCTCAGTTAACTTGGATTCTTGTTGGCTATAAATACTAAAAGATGAAGTAAGTAATAATAGAATAAATATAATATTATGTCTCTAATTATGGAAACAGTCATAAACAAATTTAACCTGTCAAAGTGTCAAGTGCGTGCTATACAGATTGTCTTACCAGGAATCGTCACTGTCGATATCTCGGAAAATACTGATCCGATAAATCTGAAAATTTGGCAACCTAGCAAAGGCAGTAGGGCTAACACAGCTAAAATATTTAGAACTTTATGGCAGTTCTGATTATACCGGAAATCGACAAGAACTTATTTTAAACGGAACACCCTATATATTATTGCATTTTCAGATTCTGCGTGAAATTTGAAGGTCACCTTATTAAATATTCCCTACACTTAGGAGTTACAGATTTTGAGATATTAATATTTAAAGAAAAAGTTTGACAGATGCAAGAGGCCGTGGAGATGCAAGTAACTCTTTTCAGGAGCGTGATAACAAGTGAATTTTAACACTAAATTATGGTAAACCAACAAATTAAAACATTTAATACTAGGTGTTTCATTTTTGCAATTACTTTTGATAATTTTAAAAAGTTATAACTTTATTAACTTAAATAGAATACCCTGTATTTTTTTACTCCCCACATTTGTCAAGTTAGTTGTCAAATTATTGTTGTGTCTGTAATAGTTTTGTAAATTTAAATAAAAATGCCTGGGGATCGTTTAAATTAGGTATACTAATGAGAATTATTTTAATTTGTATGTTATTTATGGAAAATGTGACAAAGTAATTTCAGGAACATGTAGAGAATTTGCTGCTCGATATCCAGAAAACCGAAAACGTTCACGAAATGCATGGAGGCAATTTGTGGACAATTTTGAAAACTTACGCTGTGTAAAACTTATACAGAATTAAAAAATACCCATTATTTATGATGAAAATACGGAAATAGTAGGTTCTTTTGCTACGTTTTCAGTCATAACTCCTTACTAATACTAAATTAACAAACCTATATAATGAGTTTAAGAGTAGTAAGTAATAATTCCAACAATGATAGTGATAGAATAATAAAGGCACTTACTTTCAGTACTTTCCCATATATCGATAGTGGCTATTCCTGGTGGCATACCCCGTGTATGTGTGTTTTGTATTTGTCAGCTTTTTTCAGTATGAGATTTTTGGATTTTCAGAAAAATAATCCTTGACTGATTCTTTCATAATTTTTTTAATTTTATGGCAGGTGATCAATTACCAAATAAATAAAGAAAAAAAGGCGAAAACTAAGCCTCAAGTAAATAACGTCGGACAATATAATTTATGATTTTGTATAAGGTACCATTACCAAATACGGCCATCTGAAGCGATTTCTACTTTTCTAAAGAAAAATAGGGGGCATCAGATTACTACCTACAAAATGTCATTGAACATTGGTATGAAATAAGTTAAGTCCCAGAAATTACACTTCGTTATTTCCCCAAGTGTTTTTTTCCAAAGAATTTTTCTTTCTCATACATTTATACCTGTATACATTATATGTAAGATTGTTTTGTTTATCTTTTCATTGCATTTTACGAGCTAAATTTGATTTGGTGTTACATTCTTTTAATTACTTGATACTGAACATTTATTTAATACATCGAATACACCAAATGATCTTGAAAATTAGTTTGAAATACCATGGCTTTCTGGATTCTTATTCCGTGGTCTACGTACCTGATCGCCGCTAGTTGTATATTTTCAATGGCCTTAGTTAGGAATATTTTACCCGCCCTTGTTGTTCTCGGACTAGACTCTGTGGAGAACTTTGCAATAGTTTTACCGCGGCGAAGCGGCCTATACTACACCTTGGCATACTTTTACATAATTTATTTTTTTTTATATGAACTAATTTCTTATATTAATTTAAACATAAGAGATTTTCCAAATTAGTTTGATGCGTTTGAATCATTTATGAAGGAGAAAACAAAGTTATTTTTCAATGTAACTAACAAATTCTTGTTGATTCGACGAGTCCAATCGTCACCTCGTT